TGACTGTATTGGTGATTGGACTTGTGATTGTGACTTTTGGTTTTATGGTGGAGAAGTTTCTTCGTATCGTGAACCCGTGATTTGTTGGTGTTTATGTTGGTGGTTCGTAGTGTTTGTGTTGATTAGGTATGGATGTGTCTTCTTTTGGTAGTATAATGTTGTGTATTAGGGTTTATGTGTTTGTTTTAGCGAAGGTGATTGAAGACCTGTCTAAGACAATTTTGTATAAAGTAACTTTGTAACCGGGTTTATTTAATGGAAAAATAGTAGTTAATGGAAATTACAGTTAATTAGTGTGAAAGAGGGTAATTTCGTCCTTTCACAATTTACCCTTACATATACTCATGTTTCAGACACATATGTGGGCTTAATAAGCTTTCTTTTGCTCTCCTATTCTTCTTACCGTTCAAGTGACCTCACTGAAATGAAGGGTTCGATGAAATCAGTTCAATGCTCGTGTGGATGTGAAGCAATATTACGAATGTCAACTACTAAATATAACCCTGGCCGACTCTTTTATGTTTGCCCCAAAAAGGTAAATGTAAATTGCATGTTAACTGTTGACCTAGATTTTGATAATTTGTTTCTGGGTTTGGTAACTTAATCTATAACAAATAATAACTTCCATTGTAGGGGCCTCGTGATGGCTTCATATGTTGGGCAGATGAAGTGGAGAGTACGAACACGACTGGTGACACAACTTTGGTTACAAATTTGGTTCTGGCAAATAAGAAGCTTCAATCTAATGTTAGAAAGATGAAGTTATGGTTATTTCTAAGTTGGGCTGTTTTTTTTGTGGTATTAGTCTATAAGTTGTAATGGGTTTGTAATCCCTTTCGTATTAAATATGGTTTCCTTTCCTATTAAGATGAAGTTATGGTTATTTCTAATATGGTTTCCTTTCATGTTTACCAATGTATTTGTAATGGTTATGTAATGGATTTGTAATCCCTTTCCTATTAAATAAATGAAAGTACCCTGCTATTGTGTGTCATCGTTTTGTTTGTGTTACTAGTGTACATAAAAAAAAACATTCAACAAACACATACCACAATAATACTACTACGAAACAAAGTTAAATAACACATCAAACAACCAACCTAGTCTTAACACACTACCAAATAACAGTTATGTCTATTCAATATTCATTGGATTATCACCAGAATTTCCTTCTCCATTTTTCCCTTCAACCCTTTTTGCCAATTTTTTCTTTATAATCCTCTCTGATTGCTTCCGTTTACGTGCAACTGTTGTTTTTGAACCACTTCCTTCCTCTTCATTACCACCTTTAGTAGTTGATCTCTTTCTCTTCACCTTGAGTTTTTTGGGCTTCTCAACTTTAGGACATGTAGCCTTGTTGTGATCAACTTGTTTACACACACACTACATAGAATTTTCTTCCCAACCTTTGACACGGTGTGTCTAGTAGTCTTTTCTCTTGGGTCCTTCCTTCTATTGACTTTAGGCCTGCCTGGCATTTTCCTTTTCAAAGGTGGCAGTGGTGGTATGAAATTGGTACTTGGCCACATATTGCCGCCATTCATCCCTCTCAGTGGATACTTGTAAGCATTTCTATAAAAAGCTCCAAAGAACATGGGATCCACATAACTTCCGACATCTCTGTTTAGGTAACTAATAGTTGCAACTGAGTGCACACACCCATACCCATTTAGTTGTCAAACTCTACAAGAGCATGTCTTCTTGTCTAAGTCAACGACATAAGACTCTGCTAAGTTTCTTGTCTCAAATTGGTTCAAACCAGTTGGTAAAACCGGCCAATATCTAATAACATTGTCTAAAAGTTAGTGTAAGTTTAGTATTATCTATGATGTTAACAAACACAAAACTAAGTTTACCTTTGAGCTTTTTTCAATTGATTCAACAAGGATGTAATTGATTGACATGGTTCAAAATCTGGCCATGAACTGCCTTTCATGCTCAAACGAAACTGCCTTTCCATAACATACAATCTAATCTCTTCAAGCATTGTGATGATTGGTTTCTTCCTTGCATCTCTTATAACATTGTTAAAGCTCTCCGACAACCCATTCTCTACAGTATCACACATCTTGCCCTCCTGAAAAAAGCTCTACACCATGATTGTGGGTTCTTTTCTGTTAGATACTCAAAGGCTGAAGGATTGAGAAGTTGTATTTCCTTCATTGCTGCATTGTGTAAAGGCTCAGTAGATGCCTTGCATGCCTTCCAAAACATCTTCTCATACATTACTCCGGGGAATCTTTTCCTAAAGTTGGCAACAACATGCCTTGCACACTGTCTGTGTTCAACAGTAGGCAAAATCTCCTTCACGGCTTCCAATAGTCCCTTCACATTAACAATTTAATTTGTAAAATAGTATAGGCAACTTTCATTAATAAATAAAATACAACTAAGAAACATACCTTATGCTGATCTGACATCAATGCAATTCCAAAACCATTGTCCATTCCTAAGTCATCTTTTAAATTTTCCAAAAACCATTTCCAATTCTCTTTGTTTTCAACACACACAACTGCCCATGCAATTGGAAATATATGATTATTAGCATCCCTTCCAACAGCAGTTATTAACTCTCCAGTACATAGCCCCTTAAGGAAACAGCCATCCAGGTTAATTACTCTTCTACAACTGCCCCTCCACCCTTGCTTTAGTCCCTCAAAACATACATAAAACTTACTAAAATAATTTTTCCCATCAGGCATAGTATTGACATCAATTTTCACAGTTGATCCTGGGTTTGATCTTCTTATCTCCTCACCATATGACCAAAGCTTTGAATAGTGCTCAACCAATGTGCCTTCAATTAGCTCAATAGCATGCTTTTTTGCTCTCCTGCAGTGACCCATACTTACATCTATACCAAAAGCCTGTTTCACCTCTTCCCTAAGCATCCTAACACTCATTTTCTGTTTTTGTAAGAACTTAGTTGTAAAATGGCTACCAATCCAAGCATAGCTAACAATTGATCCAAGTTTAAAATTTCTAGCACAATTATGCTCATCTATAAGGGACTTAATCTGGAAAGAGTTTTCTTCACTCATCCATGAAGCCCATAGCCTAAACTTACACTGCCCAGAACAACATTTAACTAATAGTCTTCTACTGTCATTTTTTTTGTAGCACAACTGATACCCATTAGCAACAGCATAATTACATAACATAAGCTTTAACTGTTTTGGACTATGAAATCGCATTCCTAACACAGGTTTTTGTTTTTTCCAATGCACATTTTCATTGTATGTAGTAACCTCTTCAATATTTACCTCATTTTCTTCCATTTGAAGATATGGATCCTCATGAGGTGGACTATTTGGAGTTGACTGCACTTTTGGGCATAGCTTGCTCAAAAACTCATCGTTAATGGTCTTATTCATTGGATTGCAATCTACGTGTTCAAGGTCATCGTGTACATTACCTTGCAGTTCATTCGGGCCATTCTGCACAAATCCATTATAATGATTGTCTTCCACAACGCTCTCATCAACTTGCTCATCAATAATCCACTGTTGGACATTCACACCTAGATGATCCATGTATACATCCACGACACAACCAGCAGCATACCCAGCTTCGATGAAGTCCTGGTAGTCTATTTCACTAGCTAAGATCCTCAATCCACCAGGAAAGTCTTTTCCAGGCATGCAATAAAAAACATTTACACACATTTCATTTGCAAATCTTTGTACGAAGTTAACAAACTCGTTCCTGTCCATTCCAGCAAAATCAACATCGTCGAACCTTTGTTCTGCTCCATCCGTATAACTAATTTTGGGGTACCTTGTAAAAAACCCAGCAAAGTGAAGATCGATCTTCATGTAAACCGCCATGACAACGTGATTTTGCAGACAAAAAATACGACAAAAGGGGAAGAAGACAGTGAGGGTTTTTATATAATGTGTCTTGTAGGGCAAGCTTAGTAAACGAGCAGGTTACATGGCAGCTTAGGTGGATTAATTTCGATGACGTGTGTACCTAATATGCTGAGTAGGATAATGTTAACCGGCTCAACCCTTCCACTTTGAACAAAATGGCTTTAAAAACTATTTTCTAAGTCTTGGTTCCTCTCAAGTGCGAAAAAAAAACAATAGGGACCATTTAAACCGTAACTAGAAAGATGGTTGGGTCACAGTGACATTTACCCAAGAATCTATGGATTATATGATCGCAGCAGTTTCTGATTTTTTGTAAGTGAATGTTGATGGAATTGTACAGGAGATGATGCCCGCGAAGGATAGAAGTCTGAGCATAAATTGGACATGAATTCTATATAAATTGAACATAAACCGATTAAATTATACATAGCATATAAAAGATACATAAACCATACATAAAGTCAGTCATACATTTGACAGTTCATAATAGTAATACAACTTTGTTGAATGAACTCAGAAGAAATTATACACAGCATATAAAATAAACACATTGAAACTTAAATTGATACGTAATATTTCCAAAATTACTCTCCACAGACAAAATACATGTAAATTAAGAAAACATTAATTATCACTAACTTTGTTAAATAAAATGATAGTTTTACCCTTTTGTTACATTTAATTTCATGGTAGGTAAACTAATAATTAGGGATATATTAGTAAAAGATATATTTATTTTTAAAAGTAAATTATTATTTTGAAACAAACCAAAAAAGAAACCGTTATGCATCATTTTCAGTCACATTATTTAAATAAGGGGTAGTTTGGGAAAGCAACAAATATAGAGCATCTTATTAGTGCAGGGGAATTAAGGATATTTTAGGCATTTCATATTATTAGTTTGTTATGTCAGATAGTATAAGAGGGTAGTGGAAAGGGAGAGTGAAGTATCGATTTTTTAGTGAAATCTGGAATTGTTTCCTCTTGGAGAGTGACTATCTCGAATCAGCTATCCTATCTTTAGTTATTGTAATCTTTTGGGTATTATAGAGTGTTTTCGCTCAATACTAGAACCATTTGGTTGATTTTATGTTATTGAATTTGTTGTTATAACCCAGTTCACAACAAATGGTATCAGAGCATTCACCTTCACCTGGGATTATGGCTGGTGATAAAGGAGGATGGAAGGAGGCTAGAGGAGATCAACTCAAGAAGGTTGAATCGCTTGAGACAGAGCTAAAGCATTTGTATGCTCGAATGGAGAATCAAGGGCATCAGATCCAACACAACGCTAAATCCATGGCCTCTCTTCAGTTGAAGATGGACCAAAAATTTAAAGAGGTTTTGAGTGCCATCGCCAAGAGCCGACCAGAAGAACCCAATGGGAAGACATTAGTGGTATCAACACCTGAAGTTGAAACAAGGAAGAGAGAAACGATTCTTAAAGGAGGAACGACCAACCGGAGATTTCACAAATTGATATATTTGTGTTGTACAATAGCAAAGATACACCACAATTAAATTGATACATAATATTCCCTTCGTCCCAAATTATTGTCCACAGACAAAATACATACAGATTAAGAAAACATTAATTATCACTAACTTTATTAAATGAAATAATAGTTTTACCCTTTTGTTGCATTTAATTTTATGGTAGGTGAACTAATAATTAAAGATATATTAGTAAAAGATATATTTATTTTTAGAAGTAGGTTATTACTTTGGAACAAACCAAAAAAGAAACATATAATATTAATATGGGACGGAGGGAGTACATATTTAATACATTTGTGTTGTACAATAGCAAAGATAAACCATAAATCTAATACGAACCCATCCCATACTAGGCTCATATCATGTCATAAGCCTAAGTATAGAACTCATTCCCAAAAGCTAGTTTGAAAGAGGAGGGGACACTTAAACTTATAAGCCTCCAATCAAACTTTCATTTGGCCGATATGTGATCGTAACAATACCCCACGCTTTGAAGAGCCAACATCCTCGTTGGTCACGGTTGGCACCCCTTTTTTCGGGTCCAAGCCATCACTCCAAGTGTTGGCATCTCGAAAGATAGGGATGACTCTGATACCAATTGATACGAACCTATCATATACTAGGTCTTTATTATGCTATAAGCCTAAGTGTAGAACTCTTCCAAAAGCTAGCTTGAAAGAGGATGGGACACTTAGACTTATAAACCACCAATCAAACTTTCATTTGGCCGATTTGGGATCATAACAAAATCATGAAAGAATCCGACAGCAAAAGCAAAAAAAAAAAAAAAAAAAAAGAATCTTAGCTTTGTAAAAAAGACAATTAATCGGATAGAGAAACAGAAAAAAAAAAAATTTAAGAGAAGAAAAAGAGGAGTTACCTTGAAAGTGGCCACTAACAAGGTTCAACAACAAGAAGAATTGGTTGCAACCTGTGATACGGTTGTGAAAAGAAGAATCGGTAGCAATGTGTTTTGTTTGTGTGTGGGAGAGTGAATGAAGAAATTAGGTCAATAAATGAGCTTTGTTTTCCTTTTTATTATTTTTATTATAACGTGGTAAGTTATAAAACAAAATTCAAAATAAGTCAAGAAGTCAAAGTCAAAAAAAAAGTCGATTAAAAAAAGAAAAAAAAAACGTATGTATCTTTTTCACACACCGCTTCTACCTGATACTATATGATTCACCGGTAAGAAGCATATGTATCAATTATACCCCAAGCAGGATGCTTCATGTATGGTATATGCCCGTATCGCCTTGAGGCGTACAATTTTTTGTTTTTTTTAAACCATTGATACATAGTGTGATGTTAAACTTGAAGGAGTTGGGTTGTTTCAAGGACATGACCTCGAGTAAGAGGCGTGGGAGCATATGATCAGGGTAGTATATAGGGGTAGCTCTTTGAGCTTTACCTTTGTTGTATGTGTTGTCCTTTTTGGCGGGCTTTTGTTTGTGAGTTTTAGTCATATGAGTCTGACATTTGTTTCTCTATATTTTCTCCTAATATTTGCTAGTATATGTTCCAAATTTTTGGCTAGTGTTTGCTACATGTTTTATTACAAGTATATGCTTTACATCGATTGTACTCATAGCCCTTGTATGTTAATGTATTACTATGAGTTTTTCATTTGTTTCCGTTGTAATGTTTGATGTTTTTGCTCCAAGTGTGATGGTTGGTATTTGCTCCATGTTGTCCGGTTTCTATTCGTTTGCATTGTATACGGACTATGAGCACATGTTTCCCTTAAAACCCTTGTCCATTTAATTTATTTAATTATTCATTTACTTAGTTTATTTATTTTTTTGTATTGTTTGATGGTAAATTTAATATGCATGTGATCTTATTCGACGAGCAGACATTTTGTATTTTCCTAGTTTGTTTTTCTTTTTTTCTTTTTGATGTTGTATGTATCCTTTGATTCTTTCTCGGATTAAATAATCTGTTACAAGCTATAATAAAATTGGTTAATTCATAAACAAAATAATTTACTGATATTTACCTTTTTGTTTATGTAGAGGCTTTTCATGGACGTTTTACATCATTAACAATTCTTTTAGCAGAAAAAGAATTATTGAAACGATAGATGACAATTTAACTTTTTAAAAATTATCAATTAATAATTTGACTATTATTATAAATTAGGCTATTGGGTGTAGGCAACATGTTATCACACTCAAAAGTTGTCACCTTACCATCTTAGTCATATATGGTGTTATAACATCAAGTGTGAAAATTGGCAACACCAAATAACATGTTATAACACCCTCTAATTTCCACGTCGTCCTTTTTATTTTATTTTTTTGTTTGTTAAATAATTATAAAAAACAAATATAAATTAATAAAACATGATATTTTAATAATAATAATAGTAATAATAATAATGATGATGATAAAAAATATATTATATAAGTCCAGGGTCCAATTGGTATTTTTTTGGAAATCAGATTTGTAAGACAAATTTGGCTAGAGGTTTAACCCATAAGAATGTTGAACTTGAGGGGCCAAAACTGCCCAACAGATAACTTATTCTCTTCTTCGCTGGTAAACCAATACATACAAAGGGTTGTAAGAAGCCAACGTTCAAAATATAATGTTGTTTCCTTTCGTTACCACAACAACGCATCGTAACATAACACCTAATAATAACGTCAGGGCGGGGCGGTGTTCGAAACTTGTGATGGCGTTACCTCGATGTCCAGGTCACAATAACGCCGATGGCCGGTGCCCACACCGGCCAGTCTTATGGAAAATAGAATATACAATCACAAATAACCAAAATATGTGGAAGTTTCTAACGAAATGGTCATCTTTTATTTACTTTTTACCAGTGTTGTAAAAATCTCGACTAAGTCCTGATTAATCTCTGATTAATCCCTAGGTGCTACTCAACCGACTAGAGGGTGTCTCGGAATTAATTCATGCATACACAATGAGTGAAACAGTAGAAAACGATGAAATTTTAATATTTTGAACAAGTTCTATCTCAATAAATAGAAACTATTTGAGGTATTATTAATGTTCTATTAGTCATATTAACCTATTTTATTATGATATTAGTGGTATCTACGAACTTTGATATGATATTAGTTATATTTAATTTTTAAAATTCAACAAATTAGCAATTAATGGTCCCCGATTAATTTCCGCCTAGCTGATTAATCCCTTAATTCCAATTCACCGACTAGATAACATGAAACATTTTTCACAACCTTGCTTTTTACACAAAATAACCACATGCTTTGCAAGGAGCACATTGTGAAATCAAAAGAAAAGCCTTGTTAGGTCCAACTGTGAATTTCTATACTCAGATTGGCTAATGTTTTGGTTTTTTAATGGATACGGTGTGTAGATCTAAATGAGATTTCTCTCTTGCGGGCTTGGGGACTAGGAGTTCCACCGTATGACAAACTATTTTGACGGTTATCTCATGCAAAGTGGCAAAACCCGATAAAACATGCATGGATAATCAACACGTGTTTATAGCATTTGTGTGTGATACTTTTGGTTTCCTTCTACCAGAGATTGTAGCGCTCTCTCAATAATGTTCAACGGCGATGCATAGTAATACTATAACCTCAAGATTTATGAATATGGTTTTTAAAAGAATTATTTTTGAAATCGAAAGGGATTAAGATTATAATATAATTGTTTAAAATAAGAATAGCCCTCCCCACCAAAAAAAAATCTTACAAACGAAAAAGTCGATAAAAATATCCAGTATTTCGCAATATATTAGTTTTTTTAGAAAATTATTTTGTAAAATAATTAAGAATTTTTTTTTGTGGTAACAACCATTAAAAGTCATTTTGTAGCGAGTCCATTACGAAACATATAATCGTTTTGTATAAATTGCTTAAAGGGATAATGACTTGATAGGGTAAGATACTTTTTGAAATATACACATTTAGTCCTTATTCTTTTTTTTTGTAAAATAAACCCTTATACTTTATTAATATGTACACATTAGGTCATTTTCACCGGATTCTACAGGTTTTGCTGACGTGGAAGGGTTTATTTTACAAACAAAAAGAATAAGGACTAAATGTGTACATTTCAAAAAGTATCTTACCCTATCAAGTCCTTTTCCCTTTCTTTTATTTTGTTGAAATGAAATACCCAGGTGGCATCCACATATCCACAACGAGATTTTTCCAACTTTTATTCATCATGAAAAAGAGGGAGAACCCCGATCTCCGGCGACTCCTTTGTGTGTTCCTACACATCACTGGTAGCAAGGAGGAATGATGGCAAAAACAACAAGGTCGAAGGGGGAGGCAGGAGGAAGTAGAGACGGTAGTTGGCAGCAAGGAGCTGCTCTGGTAGCCCCCTCGTCGATTCTTTCTTCTTTTTCTGGCAACATATCTCAAAGATGGAGGCAAAGAGAGACAGATCGGAGAAACACAACAGGTAAAGGGTGTTTGGCTGTTGCTGTTCGACCGGAAGGAAGAGAGAGGAGAAAGAGAAGGGTCGCCGCCCTTTTCTTGTTGCTGGAGGATCACCCACCTCCGGTGACTAAGCTAATTAATTGCTATTTAGTGCCACTTGTGCTTCCACATCAGCAAAACCTGTAGAATCCGGTGAAAAGGACCTAATGTGTACATATTAATAAAGTATAAGGGTTTATTTTACAAAAAAACAAGAATAAGAACTAAATGTGTACAATTCAAAAAGTATATTACCCTATCAAGTCATTTTCCCTAAAAGAAAATTCGTATATGACCGGTATACCGGGTATAGCCGGTCACAAGGATTGCATTGTTACAAAAAATAAAGTATAAGGGTTTATTTTACAAAAAAAAAAAATAATAATGACTAAATGTGTACAAAATATCTTAAATCCCTTACTTAAAAGATGATTATTTTGTTAATAGCCTATATCTATTTTGCACTTTAGTAACTATATAGGAAAAGATATCATTTTTATTTATTATTTTTTCAATAATAAAAATTTGTGAAACATTCAGTCAGCTGATTTTAAAAATTATAAAATAAAAAATCAAACATAGAAGTGAGCTTGTATGCTTGATGCCACCAAAGTGCCAGTTAGTCCCATTCATGAGCAGGACAATTGAAACATCAATCGCAATTCGCAAAGGAGCATCACATCATCTATAGATGCTTCGAGTCAACAGTGAAAGAAGGCTCTTCAATGGCGTTTGCAACACCCACCTTAACTCTCTCCTTAAACAAAGGAATTTTTCCTACAAACCCAGTGAAGAACCGCATACAGACTGGTTTCCTCCTCCGCGTCCTCCTTCCCATCCTCAGTCGTCCTCCAGGTCTGTTGTCAGAAACGTATGTTCTTTGGTCTGTCAATCATATTATCAGCAACAAACCCATTTCAAATCCACACCCACTCAGCTTACTCTTCCGATTGCTTCTGATTCTTTAACTACCGAAGAAGCAATCACCGTCGTCGCATCCCTCGCCGACGAGGCCGGATCAATGGTGGCTCTGAGTTTCTTCTATTGGGCAATCGGGTTTCCGAGTTTCAGACACTTTATGAGGTTCTACGTCGTTGCAGCAACGTCGTTGATCGAAAATGGAAATTCAGAGAGGGCCCACGAAGTGATGCGGTGTATGGTGAAGAACCTGGCGGAGATCGGCAGGTTGAAGGAGGCTGTTACTATGGTTATCGAGATGAGAAACCAAGGCTTAGAGCCATGTACTCAAACCCTAAATTGTCTTCTCGGAGTCGCTAAGGAGATGGGTTCCATTGAACTTGCAAGGAAGGTGTTTGTCGAAATGTCTGAAAGAGGTGCATTTCCTGATTCTTCCACTTTCAAGATTCTAATCATCTCATACTGCAAAACTAACGAAATTTCCCAAGTTGATCAATGGTTAATCGCAATGTTAGACAAGGGATTTCTCTTAGACAATGCAACTTGTACACTAGTTCTCTCTACTTTTTGTGAAAAGGGTCATATTAATCGAGCACTATGGTTTTTCCACAAGATGATTGGGAATGGATTAACACCCAATGTTATCAACTACACCACTTTGATAAACGGATTATGTAAAAGAGGAAGCATCAAGCAAGCTTTTGAATTGTTAGAGGAAATGGTTAGAAAAGGATGGAAACCAAATGTGTATACTCACACAGTGTTAATCGATGGCATGTGTAAAAAAGGGTGGACTGATAAAGCATTTAGGCTTTTTCTAAAGCTTGTGAGAAGTGAATCCTATAAACCCAATGTCCTTACTTACACTGCTATGATCAATGGATACTGCAAAGAAGGAAAAGTCAACCGTTCAGAAATGTTGTTGACCAGAATGCAAGAACAAGGTTTGGTTCCAAATGAGAACACTTACACTACTCTCATAAATGGACATTGCAAAAATGGGAATTTAAATCGGGCATTTGAATTGTTACATGAGATGCAAAAAGAAGGTTCACCTCCAAATATGTATACGTATAATGCAATTATTCATGGGTTGTTTAAAAAAGGAAGAATTCAAGAAGCATACGAACAATTGGAGATATGTTTAAAACAAGGATTACAACCCGATGAAGTGACATATAACATTCTAATAATGGAAAAGAGTAAAGAATCGGATATTAAACATGTATTAGTGATATTAAGTAAGATGATTAAGATTGGTGTAAAACGTGATATACATTTGTACACCACTTTAATATCAAGATTTTCTTGGATGAAAAGAATGGATGAAAGCGAGAGGCTTTTTGATGATTTAGTGAAAAATGGATTAATCCCAAGTAAGGAAACTTACACTTCTATGATTTGTGGGTATTGTAGAGAAGGGAAAGTTGAAAATGGTAGAAAAATGTTTGAAAAAATGAGTGAAAATGGTTGTTTACCCGATAGTATTACTTATGGTGCTCTTATAAGTGGACTTTGTAAAGGGTCAAAGTTAAATGAGGCTAAATCATACTATGATGCTATGATTGAAAAAGGACTTGTTCCATGTGAAGTTACTCGTTTGACAATTGCTTATGAGTATTGTAAAGTGAATGAATTGAGTAAAGCCATGGAGGTTGTTGATAGATTAGAGAAGAAGTTGTGGGTTAGAACATTGAATACTTTGGTGAGAAAGTTATGTAGTGAGAAGAAAGTGGAGATTGCAGTGCCATTTGTTCATAAATTGATTGATAAAGAGAAGAATTTGGATCGAATAATGCTTATGGGTTTTGTTACTGCGTGTTATGATAGCAATCATTATGCTATTGTTTCTGATATATCAGAAAAGATATCAAAAGGAATTGGTTAGTAGGTGAAACACAAGAAGGTGATAATGGATTTAGAGATTGTAATGTTGTCATTAATGGTGATGATTGTTGAGCATTATAAGAGTGTAATTTTTGAATATTTAAACGAACATGAAATGATTCGTGTTTTTTTTAGGGTTTTGGTTGATAAGTAGAGTTGACAGGTATTGTACAAGCCTAAAAATGCACGTATTCTATAAATATAGAAAAATCATGGTTTACTTATGAGCTTAAATAAGCAAATCAAAAGAAGTTGAAATCGATATGTTGGCCAAAAGTCTCGATCGAAATCTGATATTTTGTTAAACAAGAGCAAAATGGTTCTTGGTTTTGTGTCCAAACGTCAAAGTTTGACTAAAAATCGAACTCTTTTTATTTTCTAAAAGAGCATCCGGTTCAGTTTTAAAAAACTTATTATTTTGCTCCTAACATTTATTTAACAAAGGGCTTGTAGAGTGGTATGGTAAAAAATATATATATGTAACGAAAACCATATATCAAAAATTTTCTTAAATACATTATAATACTAGGTTATTACTCGTGGAAAGCATGGTTAGCAAAGTAAAAAAAATATTGATATTTCAAAACCATAATCATTAATGAACATATGTTTTGTAATAAAATTTTATCTTTTCTTTTACATCATTGTTGTGTATATGGAATGAATAGGAAAAAGACTCAACAGTAATCATAAGAAGACAACGAAGACACATGGCCATGAATTTGCTTTTTTTATTATGTAAAGCTAGTAAGTAAAGAGTAGATACAAAGATAAAGGCAAACTGCGAATTTAACTTAGAAAATTATTTGGCAATTGTGATAACACATGTATATAAACAATTTATTATTCATTTATTATAATAGGGATTTTCAAACTTTAAAAAAAATATATAATAATAACTAATTTATCCTCGTCTAAAATATTATATAAATCACTCTGGCTTATTAGTTTTAAGTATATGTCATATTTCTAAAAGATATATTATTTGATATTAAAATTTAGATAAATTAAAATATTAGGATTAGGGATGGTAATTTATGACACGACACGACAAAAATACACGACACGAAATGAAATTGGGACGAAACTGAAACTTGAATTCATTTTCGTGTTCGTGTTAACTGTAAAAACATGATGTCGTGTCGTGTCGTGTTCGTGTTCAAAATTCGACACGAAATTGACACGATTTAGCAGTTCTTCATCGTGTTTTTCGTGTTATATTTGATAAAGTATTCATTAAATAAACTAGTTTTTAGTATATTTTTATATTTGTCGTGTCGTGTCGTGTTTGTCGTTTTTAATTCGTTCGTTTTCATGTTAGTTAAAAAAACACGACATCGTGTCGTGTCGTGTTTGTGTTGCATAAAACTTTGTCGTGTCGTGTCGTGTCAGACAGAAACACGAAACGATAGCACGATTTGCCACCCCTAATTAGGATACAAGATATTTGGAAGGAAAAAAAAACCTCCAAACATATTATTCCATATTTCGCTTTAATATTTGATCCTTGTATCATTTTGATTGTTTTGAAATTTAATGATATGATATTTCATAAGAATATATTCAATTTTATTTTATATGTGTAATAAAATAGATCATCTAGTAAAAAATAATAAAGTTTAATATGTAAATATAATAGGGCTTAAAATGAAATGTTATTAAACATCTAATGTACAAAATAAACAACAACTTAATACAAAAGTATTGAAGTATACTTTAAATATATTTAGGGGTGTTTGGACTTGGATTTTAAAATTTATTATTGTGAAAATTCAAATTTGAATATTAATAACAACAAATTGATTGAAGTTAGAGATAATTATGTGATTATGTTAAGGTTAGTTGATTGTGCCATCAGATCAAGTCGCTCTTCTTTGCTTGCAAAATGTTGATAAGATTTTTGATTAGTGTAAAATTCATCTCATTTTCTTACTTGCGAGATCACCTTGATGAAAGTAGACCAACGTATGCATCCATTACTTAATCTAATGTTGGGATTTTGTAGACTCAAAAGGTGATTACAGTTGTACTAACGATTTACATTTGTTAGCACAACTGTAATCATCGTTTGGATTCTTAAAATAATAAAAATACTTCCTCTCATCTCCTCTCCTATGTATGTAGGCTATTAAAACACACAATACAATATCACACAACGGAAGTGTGGTAAGATGTTAAATCATTGTGTTTTTGGTGGCTTGTTTATATAGCATTCGATTGACTATCTTGTTTTGTGGGAAATTCCATGTTGTAGGAGGTGGTTTCCATGTAAAAGAACATACACTTAAATCAAGACTTTCCAACGAATTGAGTTTGGCTTCCCAAGGTAAAGTAGAGAGATAAACTTGATGGTTGCTATAGATCTTCCCTTAACCTTAAGTTTCACTACATATATTCCCCTAAGTTCATCTTCAGTCGAATCCAAATACAAGGAACCACTAAAAGTACAGTCTCAAGTTACCTTACAAATCAAGTTGAATCAACATCTTTGGTTTATACCTTTCGAAAAAAGAAACTATTTAGCATAAGAGTAAAGAGATAAATAGAGAAACCAACAATAAATTGTTCAATGAAAGATAAGGAAACTATATTCCATGTTTTAACTTTTAAGCAACAAATAAAGAATATTATGTAGGTAGTAAACGAAATAATGAATAGACAAAGGCAAAACATATTACTACATATTCACATATTTATATTTCTTGCTATTAATACTGTCACATAGCCAACCACAAAAGTAGAGATCCATTAAAAAAAATCGAGTTTAACAAAAGTACATATTTATCATTTTATCATCAAGACAAATCCATTGAAACATTCAATCACTCAACCCAATGAATTTGGTATCAAAGATCCCATATCTTCTACTACCCCACATGTCGCTCTTATCAACATAATAAGATTTCAAACAACAATCAATCCATGGCGGATTTCTTGCCTTTCCATTATTTTCATCAATTCCAAGTAACACCTTATGCAATTTTATCATCTTATCATCATCCGGATAGCCTCCAAAAAACTTCTCCTAATAAAGACGATAACACAAACATAATTTAATTCACAAAAGAACTAATGAAAATTCAATAATTGTAATTAAGAAAAAAGTATATTATATATATAATTAAATACCGCATCTTTGTCATATAAACATGCATGGATTCTAGCTGTAGCATCTTCAAGTGTGAGGCGAAGCCTATAAATACCAGAGGGCCCACGGAAGTTGGTAGCCTCACCAGGTAATGTTGCCACTACACGAACTACACATCTGTATTTGTATAATACCTAAAACATATTTCAAAGTTATAGATAAACTAGAAAGTGCTTACAAAACTACAGGGACTATTTTTGATAATAAAAAAAAACTCATAGGGACCATTTTTCGTAATTCATTTTCTACATAGGGACCAAACCTCATTTTTTTAAATTTGTTATTAGGAAGAGGCATTTATGTAATTTTTTAAACATATGCACCATTTTTGTAAATATAAATCTGCAAAAGGACCTATTATGTAAATTCCAAGGACCGTTCTTGTAATTTATTTTCAACGTAGGGACCAAACATGTGAAACCTGCAAACATGCGAAGATACGAAAGGTAAAGAGATGAAAAATGTCGGTGTTTAAAATTGAGGGGCTAAAAGTGACATTTTACAAAGTGTGGGATGGAAACTGGCATTCGACAAAAGTGGTGGAAAGTGTGAACGTACAAAAGTTTAGGGATCAAATGTCAAAATAAGAGAGTTTTGTGACTAAAGTCTAAAATAAGAAAGTTAGTGACCTTCCGAGTTAAAAAAATAAGTTAGGGACCAGACGTGCAAATTACCCTAAACCATAGGGACCATTCGCGTAATTTACTCATAAAAATTCAATCTACTAAGCAAAGATTGTTATACTATACACCTTTGGATAGGTGATTATGTCCATCAGTGTAACAAGAGGCACGTGCTCATGCTCTGTTTCTGCATACACATGGGTGTATGATCAGTATACACATACACATACACATACACACACATACATACATACATACATACATACATATATACATACATACATATACACATATATGTAAAGAAAAGTATACTTGTGAGATTAGGAGGCCAAGGGAAGCTAGACAATGGCATACGAGTCCACTTTCCTTTAAATCGTTTCTTGTATTCCCTAAATCACATCATAAAAAATTTGTGAGAATTTCTTGATATTCAGTCAAAATGCTTTCTTTATAGTAATTTATATGACATATGTATACTGAACCTTTGGAACTCTAATACAACTTTATTGTCATCAGACAAATAACTAAACTTAGAAGAATGCATCAAAATTCCACACCATAAACCCTCACGAGCTTCAAATTGAATATTCCTAAACTGAACCCATCTGCCAACTTTCAGTAACTGAAGTGCCAGCCTGGCATTACACCTGTCAGCAGTTAACCTTAAAACAGTCCCAACAGTTGGGAAACTACACAAAACATCTCTTGACAATGGAGGCTCTTCTAATTGTAGACAAAGAGGGTTCTTAAGCTCTTCTTCAAGCCTAAAGTTGAAAAAATACACACACAGAGTCAATAGTGAAAAGTCAACACATGAGTTTGACCTCCAAAGATGAAACAACACTCACTTTGAATGAATATCTAATGGTGGAGCATCAGTTCCATTCCATACAAAAAGCATCCACTCACCTTGTGTAACTTCACAGATATGAAGAACCTATAAATCACAAGAATGCTCAAAATTCAAATAGATATAATATGATATTATGATCCAACATTTGTGCAAAATCTCATTATAAAAGTAGCAATCTTTTAAAGTACCTTACAAATCAAATTGGATCGAATTCCTTGTTTGATTGAATTTAGTTGGAAGAAGCCATTTGATTCTGTAAAGAGAGTAGAAATGTAGTTTCAGTAGTGCTTTGTGTACAAGTTTAGAAGTATCAAAGTGAGTTAAATTGAGTACCTGTTTCAGGTAGGTGAGTAATTGTCCACTTTCTCAAGTCTGCTATGAACTTGTTGTCTTGTTCTCTAGCATGAAACTTGGAGGAAACTTGATAAGGTACAAAGTTTGAAAAATCACTTCCTTCATATAATGCAAATGCTGAAAATCTTTTGTTAAAAACAGCATTGACCTCAGATCCATGAAGTTTCATCTGAGATAACAACAAATAAAAAGAATCAAGGCATCAGTATATAAGCATAAACATAAGAATGAAAAAGCAGGAAGAAGAGAAATTAACTTGGGAAAAAGATAGAAGTACCACAACATGAGAAAGCTGAATAATGTCACCGGTGGACTCAACATTTGGGAGCTTATCAAAAGTTTCAGCAAAAACATTAACGGAGATCCCAGAGCTTGGATTTGATTCATCTACAATCCTTATTGTGCAACAACAATCTACAGAGAATCAATCAAAAGAGAAAGAAGGAAACTTTTAGTTTAGATCACAATAAGCTGTTATCATTTCGGAATGTACACATCGTGAGAAATTTGAAAATCAAACCCTAGCTCAGAAATAACCTTATAGAACTTCTCATCAATCTACTACCAACCACTAAGGTGGCAGCTGTAAGTCCGGCCTTTTTTTCATCATTGCCAGGTAAAAGTTAATTTACAACAATCATAGAGTGAAAACGCATATAATGAGAACAATAAGAGAGTATAACGCTCTCTCCATTGAAATGATCAAAAGGAAGTTCTCTCGTTATAGAGATTATACCATTTCGGAAACACAGAGAGAGTTTTGTAAGAGTAATATCATTTTATCATGTATTATCATCGTCTGAAACAAAAGAAATCAACAAGAAAGACACTTTGATGAGTATATGAACACGCACCAGTGCCTTTGCTCTGCTTGGGTATACCGGCTTCGGTGACAACACCAATGAGGTTAACTTTTTGATTAATCGAAGTCGTGGCATCTACAATACGAAGAAACTTATAGTCGTCACTCTCTGGATTCGGCATTTGCAGCTGTTCTGTCGTAACCCTAGTTGTGTATTCTGTGTACCTGTAGGCGGGAATGGGAGAATTGCCGAATTGGTGAAATGGGGGGGAAACGCCGCCAGCTTTTATCAAGGAACACGCGAATGGATTTTATTCGGTTTCCAAAATGATTTTATTTTTATTTCTTATTTTTATTTATTATTATTATTTTTTGACAAAATTGCAAAAATGGTCCATGTGGTATGCAATTTTTTCGAGGTTTTAGTCAAAACCATGACTCTTTTGGATTGGTGGTCCTTTTGAGGTAGTTTACTTGTAACTTTGGTCATTTGCTAAACTGAAAATACTAAAATACCCTTCTGATATATTTTTTATATTTTTCCAATTTAATTTAAAGTTTTATTAATAAAAAATATGGGACCCACCTCTCTCTCTCTCTCACTCACTCTCATAAACACGCACATACACCCAACTTTGTCTTTCTCCCTCACCTCTTGAAACATTGAATCCACCTCTCCATTACAATCGAAAGCTGCAATTTACTCCCACCACCACCAGCATCGGCTGCTACCGGCCAAGGTAAATGATTTGCTGACCCTACCCCGCTCAATGCTAACAGATCCACTGCTATCCCTTCCTGTCAGCAACCCTAAATCAAATTTGAGGAAAAGAACCCCTACACCTCCATTTTTTCCGGCAATACCACAATCACCACTGATTATCACCTCCCATCCATTTCCTCCCTATTTAGCCTCTCCTGTATTCTCCATCTCATCCCTAACCACATGTAATTTTTCCAAACCCAAATCCTCATATATGCGGAGATTGAACCGATGTGGGTGGGGAACTCATTGGCTCTGCAACAGGAACAACAATGGAGTTGAACCTGAGATAAGGTGGGAAGGATAGCAGACATTAGTGGCTGACGGTGGGTGGTTCTTTCCCACCACTGATGGTTATTGAACCTCCATGAGCATCATCATCATCATCAAACCCACCACCGAGCACCATTCTCCTACGTATTTCTCATATGCCCCAAACGTGCAACACCGTTGCCACCCTATAGCTCTGTCAACCACCATTTAACCATCCATTAACCACCGTTACTACCATCTCAACACCACCTCCTTACACCGCCACCCCTGTTCACAGATATGGGTTTTGTGAAGGCTTCCACTTGTTGATTTCAAGAGCTTCTTCATGGATAAATGAAAAGAACACACAGACACACATTCGCTTGCAAATCAATTATAGAGTGTGTGTGTGTGTGTGTGTATGTTTATGTGTTCATCATTTATCTACAGGTGTATGGGTATTTGTGTGTATATGTTTTTGTTCCTATAAGTACACTTCGTGGATGACTTAAAGATTTTAAGGCTGCAATACATGATTTATGTATCTCTGGTAACAAGAGTAATGGATCTGTGTCCTTGGTTTAGTGGGTTCGAGCCTAAAAGGCATTCGATTGCTTGGAATGTGTAGAAATGGCAAAGTGTACCAGGAGAGAGAGAGAGAGAGAGAGAGAGAGAGAGATGGAGAGAGAGAGCCCTTTTTATTTTTTTTAAATTATTAAAATAAATAAATTAGTATTAGATTTAAAAAAATGAAAGAAAAATGGAAAATAAATACCCCAATGGTATTACAGTCATTTCACTATTTTGAGGGACCAAAAACGCAACGAAACTAGCTCAAAAAGACCACCAATCCAAAAAAGTCATGGTTTGGACTAAAACCCCAAAAAAATGCATACCACAGGGACCATTTTTGCAATTTTGTCTTATTTTTTTTAATTTAACCGTGTCTTTTTTTTAAAAAAAAATAATCACATTTTTTCGGTAATGAAACAGGCAGAACATTGATTTTTATTAAACATGTCTATCCAAAGAATCATACTATTACAAAATATTACAAAGAAAAACATTTTCACAACATTCATTTGAAACTCTCTAACTCTTAATGTTTCTATATAATATATTTAATTTATTAACTTAAATATGTTTTTATTTGTAAACATTATCACAAATGAAAAACTTTGTGACTTATATATACTTAATTTGTTAACTTCAATATATTGTTAAATAAATAACCTACATTAATATATCAAATAAGCTTAAAAATTTAGTGTAAAATTTAAAAACTAAAGTAAAATATCAAATAATGTTTAAAAAATTCAATATATTTTTTTAACATAGTTAAAAAATAAAACATTAAATATAATAAATATAAAAGAACTTAAATTGATGAATTGAATTAACTAAAAGGTGTCTGAAAACTATATTTTATAACAACTAAAATTCAATTTAGTTGTTTTTAAATTAATTTAAAATAATAATAGTTAAAAATAATAGAAACTTAGAAATTAAATTATGTTAGATTAGAAACAGTTGTTCATAATTTAAATAATCATCATGATAAAATTAAAACATCGTCAATTTTTTTAATTAATAAATCATAATAGTAGTAAATTAAAATAGTTGACAAATATAACTAATGTTATACACACGTAAAATATTAGTAGGGGCCATTAAATATTTAAATGATTTGATTTTAATAAACGTTATTTTATCTATTCTTCAAATTAATTATAATTTTATATAAAATAAATATAGTAATTATTATTTTATAGTTAATATAAATGATATAAATATTATCAATAACATAAGATTACCAAAAGATTTAATTTTATTCTGTGCAACACGCGGATATTCGTCTACTCTATATCATCATATCATATTATACTTATAAATGATGCATTTTTCTTATCACATCATGCATTTGAAACCCCGACACAAATTTCCAAGCACCCCATTTGAAACCCCCACACCTTTTCACCTTCAAAGTAATTGATCACATCATGAAAGGTTTTATAACTTATATAATATGTTTAATAAAGAATGAATGGATAGTCTACTATAAAAATGTCATTCTCTTTGAGTAGACACATAAATACAAATCACATACAAAATTCACAAAGAATACAAGTTTAAAAGTTTTGTGTTGGTTTGAGGGCTTTGGACTATTTTTTGAGTCATGTTATTATGTTAAACTTTTTAATTTGTAAGTTTTTTAAATACTAATTCTTATATATATATATATATATATATATATATATATATATATATATATATTGGTTTAAGTATTCTTGTAAGACAATCATTGTATGTTGTGGTTGAAACTTTAATATAATTAGATTAAATTCATGTTATCGATCATATGTTATGGAAAGTGATATATATAATATTTAATTAAATATTGTATATATGTTTGTATGTTTGTGTTGCTTCAAGGTAATAATTAATTAAAAATCATGGATATGCAATATTATCATGTAAGTCTCTTTTAAAATACAAATTGCATGTCTTATCACTTTATATTGTAGTGTATGTTTAACATTTTAATTATAATAATAGGTATCTTTTAAAAGTTTTATTTCGCTTATTAATAATAATAAGTGGTTTTAAAACTAATGACCCATAATTATAAATAATAAAATTTTAACACCGGAAATTTTCAAACCAAATTTTTCATTTTTTAAAACACATAAAACTCATATATTATATTTCATAAAACCACAAGTGTCTCAAATGTCAACATAAATCCACAAATAAAAGTCAAATCCCAGAATCCTCAACAAAGTCTCGAACAGGTGTGTACAATCATGTCAGCGCCTTCTCGCGGTCCTGAGAAGTACATGAACAACACATATCACACAACACGGTAAGCACAAAGCTTAGTGAGTTCCCCAAAATACCACATACATAAATAATAAGCCTCTCATGGCTATAACTCGGCATGGACCCTCCGGTCTCATGTGTCTCGGTGTGGACCCTCCGGTCATGTGTCTCAGTGGGGACTCTCTGTCTCACAACTCAGTTTGGACCCGCCGGTCCTGTCTCAGTGGAAACCCTCCGGTCCCACAACTCAGTTTGGACCCTCTGGTCATATCTCAGTAAAACACATAATATAGCATATATATCATACAGACAAAATGCATAATATGACGTAACTCAAATAAGCACAAAAGACCCTCCGGTCACACATAGATACTACTCATGGTAAGTATAGTGAGAAGACTCACCTCGTAAGCAAAGAAAACCGGATACCCCTGGAACAGCCTAATCTCCGCCTACACGTAATTAACATCTCTAATTAACTCATAAAGATCACAACGTCATATAACTCACGCTAAACTCTTTCTAACTCTTGAGATGGGTAAAAGACCATTTTACCCCTCCATGCCCCCCATAAACCCTGTCTTAACCAAACCCTAAAGTCAACAGAAGTCAACATTCGAGTCAATTGTCCATGTTGACCCAAATCGTCGAGTGCACCTATGTGACTCGCCGAGTCCCCGCTGTTCCTCAGAACGTCGTGAAATCCCAACTTAACTCGTCGAGTTGTCTCATCAACTCGCCGAGTCACCCTTGTCCAGACTAATCGGGGAAAACCCCAGCCGACTCGTCGAGTCAGCTCATTGACTCACCGAGTCCCTTAAGTCAAAATCTTATTTAGAAGTTTTTAAGGCAGATGTACCAGTCCAAACTCTAGATCTAGCCTCCCAAGGTCTGAATGTCACGTAAAGCTTCGATCTTTACGTTCATGCATGGCGTATTTGCTCCATAATGCCGCTATAAGCTCTAACTAAGGTGTTTAAGCACAATAACTATTTCATGGCTGAATAAAGCTGGGACATTTGGACTCTATGGACCTCACAAGGTCCAGATCTGATGTCTCAATGCTTGGCAAGCACAAGTCATACCAAATCTCAAGGAAATATGGAAAAATCCCCAAAAGTTCCTCATTAGCAAGATCTAAACAACATTATGAGCAAGGTGATGGCTTTTACCTTTCAACAGAAGCTCCAAGTGAAAGAATGATGGATCCCACAGCCTCTCCTCATTCCTTGCTTGTATCTCACTTCTTCCCTTCCAAAAGATTCACCAAAACACTCAAATATTAGCTCAAACACTCTCTCTTAGCTCAATGGCCGATTAGGGTTTCACACAGGGGAGTTGGGTAGCTGGTGAGGCGGAAATGAGGACATGAGTTTCCTTAAATAGGCCCCATATCCGGGGATTTAGGATTTCCTCACACAGCGCCAACTCGGCGAGTCGGCTCCCTGACTCGTCGAGTCGGTCATTAAACCCACGTGACTAACCCAACTCTACTCGACGAGTCGGACACACAACTCGTCGAGTCACTCATTAAATACCAAAAATAATTAAATAAATAAATGAAATACCTGGGAGTCGGGATGCTACAAAAATTAAATTATAAAAATCATGGATATGTCATATTATCCATGGAAATCTCCTTTGACATGCAAATTGTCTATCTTATCACTTTATTATTTAGTGTATGTTTCACATTTTAATAGTAATATTAAGTGTTTATTAAAAGTCTTCTTTAACTTATTAATAATAATAAGTTGTTTAAAACTAAAGAACAATAATTTTAAATGATAATAACATCAATTTATAATTTACATAAAGTTAACAACGAATAAATTGTATTTTAAATGAACATCATTATTGAAATTAGAATATAATCGCATAAGTAAAATTTTAAACTAATGAATCATAACAATTGTTAAAAATAATATTAAATAGATAATTATCTTTAATTTTATTATTGAGGAAGGTGGGTTGATATCAATAAATAATATTGTTCAAAATATTATGTCAAAGTTAATGTCAAGAACATAACCATTTTAAACATATATTTTTCAACATTTTAACAATATATTTTTAACTTATGTTGTGCAACGCGCAAGAATTCATCTAGTATATTATTAATAAAAGAATAGTTATTACAATCAACATGATTCATCCACGTGAGCTTTTGTGACGTGTCCTTTTGAAATGCATTTGGTTTAATTTTGAATTCATAATAACATACAAAATACAAAAGTACAGGATATGCTTACCAAACTACCAACAATTCCCATTTCTATTTACTTAAAAAAAAATTGAATACATTTAGTACATTCTACACCTAGCACCTTTTAATGGAAGATAACACCTATTTTCCATAGAATCTGGAATCCATAATTACGTCTTGCATAATATCATATGTAAATAAGGTGATATCATAACATACCACCCTGTAAATAAGGTATTTCAAAAAAACCAGACATTCCAGCTAAACATCCGGTATCACTTCCTTAATTAACGTGATAAAATAATTTCTCTCAGAATAATTTGATTATCTCTCAATATTTGTAACCTTATTAACGATTTGCAAGACATAATTATATGGATATATATACCTGCATAAGTTGCAATACTTAAACTCTTCACACTTTTGTCATTCGTCTTACAACTTTTCTTCTTTGTGTTTCTATGGAATCTGCCAAAAAACAAGTTTAATACGTCATGTATTTCATTTTTTCTTCCTATTTCTTACTCTTTCTTTCTTCCTGTTTCTACTTTTTTATTTTCTATTCCATCTGTTTATTGTAATTTTATCCACAACTATTCGAAATAAAAAAGTGTTTTTTAATCAATTTTATCATAATTTCGAAATAAAAGAAAAAGAAACATAAATTCCTAATATGCAAGAAAAATAAAACCACTTACTTAAAATCATATCTACTTCCAGGCCGCAAGACCTCTGTAAATAGATTTAATAATATTAAGGTGATGGTAGCAAGCCTTCTGGATTCCATCCTGATGAGAAAACATGCAAATACACAAAATTCATGTTATAAACCTTTGTGTTAAATAGAATGTTGCAAAAAAAAAAAAAATGTTAACTTTACACTCGATGTTATCATCCTATCCAAAGTAGGTTGCTATTTTAAGATATTTTCCAACTTCGAGACTCTTTCAAAACAACAACCTACTTTGAAAAAATCTTAATATAAATTGTTTTGGTTTTATGTTATTAATTTGGTTTTTTGGTTCATATGCATAATCTAGACAATCTATGATCGGTATTTTGGTAATTTGAACACAACTCTGATGTCAATTTATGTCTTGTGGCTACAATATTTATCATCTTCCTGTTTTGACTTTGTCATACTTCTTTTTTTGAGTTTCCTTAGATCTAGAACACACAAAGTTTATAAGGGTGAAAGTTAGTTGCTATAAATTTCTATCAAAAAAAATTTTATTAGCTCGGGTAACCTAAACAAATTCATGCATATCAATTAGCAAATGACATTAATTAATACAACCATCAACCAAATAAGCAATTGCTTTCTGTCTCTTGTAGCAGTGAAAGCTGTGAGAGGTTCATAATGTAACGTCGTAAATTCCAAAACAATTTTTCACTTAAAAAAATATAATTTCATTCATAAATGTCATAAATCTCCATGTATCACATATCAAATCCATAAAATTCATCCCAAGATCACAGTACATAAAAACTCCACAAGTGTGTACTGATCATGCCAGCGCCTTCCCGCGATCCTCACTAGTACCTGAAACACATAACATAACAACTGTAAGCATAAAAGCTTAGTGAGTTCCCCAATATACCACATACGCACATACGCCACTCAAGGCTATATAAGACCTTCCGGTCTCTGTGTCTCAGGGGACTTCCGTCCCATAACCCTGGTAGACCTTCCGGCCCTACCCGTAATGACCTTCCGGTCCATATCATCCTGACCTTCCGGTCCACATCATCCTGACCTTCCGGTCCACATCATTCATAACATACCTAACACATACATATCACATAACAACATATAATACATACACCTCATAGCATACAAGACCTTCCGGTCACACATAGGTACCTTTCCAGGTACAGTATAGTGAGAAGACTCACCTCGGGTAACTCGGTAAATCTCGAACTCGGTAATACTGGTCTAGCCTCCGCCTAATCACATGGAACAATTACTCTAATCAATACAACTCTCAAAGGCTAGACTAATCCCACTCTAAGTTCTCTCAGAAGGGTAAAAAACCATTTTACCCCTCTTATGGCTCAAAGATCCAAGCATTGACTAAACCCTAAAAGTCAACAAAAGTCAACCCTCCGGGTTACGCTGCGCGTACCAAACCTGTACGATGGGCGTACCCGGCGACTTCACAGAATCGGGGAACGCGACCCCCTACGCTGTGCGTACTGGGATTACGCCCATCGTAACTCCCAGTTTCATACTCCTTTTGATTTTGGGTCTTAAATGGTTAAGACATATACTCAAACTTCAGATCTGACTTCTCTAAGGCCACTTAATCCATAAAGTTGAAACCTTTAAGCCTTTGCACGGCTGTAAAGGTCACTAATCACTCTAACACCTTTCCTCTTCCCTCACAAAGCCTAGATCTCATGCATGGCTTAATATTCACGTCCAAGATTGGATTTTTATGAACCCTCAACTCACAATACTCTGAAATATAGTAGATCTAATCTTATGGAGACCTTTTGCTCATAAAGTCTCCACCTTGGGACCAAAAACCCTAAAAATTGGTCCATGAAGCACAAATCAACAATAACAAGGAAAGCTCAGAGCTTTTTACCTCCGAGTGAAGCTCCTCCCTCTGTAGAACTCAGATCCAAGCTTGCACTCCAACTTCTAGCCTTCACAAGAACCTCCTCTTCTTCTTCACTAACACACAAAGGCACTTTTAGCTCAAGAACACTCACACACAAGCTTAGAACGAAGGTTGGCTCTCTCTTAGGGTTTCACTCTCTCAAATGGTGGTTGAGGATAAGGCCATAGCTTTCTTTATATAGGGCTCAAGTCTCATTTAGGGTTTTGAGTCTGGACCCGCTACGCCCAGCGTAGCCTAAGGTACGCCCAGCGTACCGGGTGGAGTCCGCGTCCAAAACACGCCCATGAGTACGCGCAACGTACTCTTCAGTACGCCCAGCGTACTCATTTGCCACAATCTACTTTTAAGGGCTAAACAAGACAACTTAGAAACAAGGAAGGTTTAAGAGACGCACCTGAATTCCGGGATGTTACAATTCTCCCCCACTAGAACCAGACTTCTCCCTCGAAGTCTCATGCCGCAAACAACCCCGGATGCTGCTCCCGCATCTCTTACTCCGGCTCTTAAGTCAGCTCGGACCCTCTCCGATGTTGTCACTGGACCTGAACCAGAGGCACCTCCTTGTTCCTCATAACCTTGATCTTCCGATCCAAGATCGCGATCGGTCTCTCAACATAATTCAATCTCGCATCCACCTGAATGTCCTCTAGCGGCACCACCGCCGACTCGTCGGCTATACACTTCCTCAACTGAGACACGTGGAAGGTATCATGAATCTGGCTCAACTCCGCAGGTAGCTCCAAACGATACGCTACCCTGCCCACCCTCGCGGTCACTCTGAACGGACCGATGTACCGGGGCCCCAACTTGCCCCTCTTCCTGAATCGGATCACTCCCTTCCAAGGAGAAACCTTTAGGAGTACGAAGTCTCCCACCTGGAACTCAAGCTCGGATCGTCGCCTATCCGCATAACTCTTCTGGCGACTCTGAGTTGTCAACAACCTTTGCCTGACCTGCTGTATCTGCTCAGTCGTCTGAAGCACTATCTCAGTGCTACCCATCACGTGCTGCCCTACCTCTCCCCAGCAAATGGGAGTCCGACACCTCCTCCCATACAACAACTCGAAGGGAGGCATACCAATACTCGAATGGTGGTTGTTGTTATAGGAAAACTCAGCCAACGGCAAGTACGTGTCCCAACTTCCTCCGAAGTCCAACACACATGCTCGAAGCATGTCCTTGAGCGTCTGAATCGTCCGCTCACTCTGCCCGTCCGTCTGTGGGTGGTAGGCGGTACTGAAATGCAACCTCGTACCCAACTCCTCATGGAACTTCTTCCGAAACCTGGAAGTGAATCGCACATCCCGATATGATACAATCGAGATCGGCACTCCGTGACGCGATACCACCTCTCTCACATACAACTCGGCCAGCCTCTCTGCGGAAGAGCTCTCACTCATAGCAAGGAAGTGGGCGCTCTTCGTCAGCCGGTCGACTATCACCCAAATTGCATCGACGCCCCTCGTGGTCCTCGGCAATTTGGTGATAAAATCCATAGAAATCTCTTCCCACTTCCACTGGGGAACCTCAAGTGGATGCAACTTGCCATGCGGACGTTGGTGCTCGACCTTAACCCTGCAACAGGTCAAGCACCTCTCAACAAACCACGCGACATCCCTCTTCATGCAGGGCCACCAATACTCTCTCTTCAGGTCCAAATACATCTTAGTGGCCCCGGGATGGATCGAGAACCTCGATTTGTGCACCTCCTCCATCATAATGGTACATGCCCCGCCTGCATATGGCACCCAAATCCGACCCTGAAAGGTCATCAGCCCTCGGCTATTGGTAACGAACTCGGACACCTGCCCGATCACCCGCTCCCTTTTGCGGTTCTCCGGCATCACGGCCTCTGCCTGGGCCTCCCAAATGGTGTCCAACACCGGAGTCATCACCATCAATCGCATACAAATGTCTCGAATCGGGGCACTCCCTGCCTTACGGTTTAGAGCATCAGCTACAACATTAGCTTTGCGCGGGTGGTACAGGATCTCACAATCGTAATCCTTTACCACATCCAACCATCTCCTCTGGCACATATTCAGGTTGGGCTGATCCATCAGATACTTCAAACTCTTGTGGTCCGTGTATATGGTACACCAAACCCCATACAGATAATGGCGCCAGATCTTAAGGGCGAACACCACTGCCCCAACTCCAGATCGTGGGTGGGATACCTCGTCTCATGAAGCTTCAGCTGCCTCGATGCATACGCTATCACATGCCCCCTCTGTATAAGCACCACACCCAACCCCGATATCGATGCGTCGCACTACACCACAAAGTCCTCCATTCCCTCTGGAAGGGATAACATCGGGGCTTCGCACAACCTCTGGCGAAGAGTCTCAAACGAGGTCTGCTGCTCCTGACCCCACGAAAAAGCAACGCCCTTCCGGGTCAACCTGGTGAGAGGCACGACGATCTTGGAGAAATCCTTGATAAATCTCCGATAGTAGCCGGCTAACCCCAGAAAACTCCTGATCTCGGTGGGAGATCTCGGCACCTCCCAACTCATCACCGCCTCAATCTTGGCCAGATCGACCAATATCCCCTTTTGATTGACGAGATGTCCCAAGAACTGGACCTCTCGCAACCAGAAATCACATTTGGAGAATTTGGCGTACAGCCTCTCCGATGTCACCACTCCGAGGATCTCTCTCAAATGCTCCTCGTGCTGCTCCCGGGACCTCGAATACACCAGAATATCATCAATGAACACGATCACTGATCGATCCAGCATCGGTCTGCACACCCTGTTCATGAGATCCATGAACGTTGCCGGTGCATTGGTGAGCCCAAAAGGCATCACCACGAACTCGTAATGCCCATAACGAGTCCTGAACGCCGTCTTCTGGATATCCTCTTCCCGCACTCTCATCTGATGATATCCAGACCTCAAATCTATCTTGGAGAACCAAGACGCTCCCTGCAACTGATCGAACAGATCATCGATCCTCGATAAGGGGTAACGGTTCTAGACCGTCAACTTGTTCAACTCCCGATAATCAATACACATCCGATGCGAACCATCCTTTTTCTTGACAAAAAGGATCGGCGCTCCCCATGGCAAGCTACTCGGTCGAATAAACCCCTTCCGCAGCAGCTCCTGAAGCTGCGAGGATAACTCCTGCATCTCTGGCGGCGCAAGGCGATAAGGCGCCTTGGCGATAGGCGCTTCCCCCGAAATCAAATCGATGCGAAACTCCACCTGCCTCTCGCGAGACACACCTGACAACTCCTCGGGAAACACATCCGGGAACTCACGCACTATCGACACATCATCAACCGAACTTGGCCCCTCGGCGGCCACTCGTGAATCCATCACATATGCCATAAACCCGCTACAACCCTGCTGTAGGCTCCGCCTCGCTCTAGCAGCCGAACAAAATGATGACTCAGAACGGGTACCCTCGCCGTACACCGTAAGTACTCCCCCACTAGGGTCTCGTATGGTTACTAGTTGTCGTTCGCAGTCGATAACCGCTCCAAATCTGTTCAACCAGTCCATGCCCACGATGACACAGACATCCCCCATCGCAATCGGGACCAAATCAATCGGAAACTCAACGCCGAAGATCTCGAGTACACATCCTCGAATCACATCCGTAGCATACACCGCTCGATCGTCAGCTATGGAAACTCGTAGAGGTCGACTCAACGCCTCCCGCTGAATACTGATGTGCTGACTGAAGGCTAAAGACACAAATGATCGACTCGCACCCGACTCAAATAACACCAAAGAAGGTACATAATTCACAAGAAAAGTACCTACGCACATCATAATATAAGCACAATATCTCAAATTCAGCATAAATAAATGAAAGAATACATACCAGCCACGACATCGGGCGCTGCACGGACCTCCTCCGCTGTCAACTGGAAAGCTCTCCCGCGAGCCTTCGGTGCCTCGGCCTTCACCGACCGAACCTCAGTAGCTCGCACGGCAGCAGGGGCAGATCCCTGTGGTGCTCCCTGTGCTGTCCCCCGCAGCTGCGGACACTCGGCCTTCCGGTGTCCAGTTTGGTTGCAATGAAAGCAAACCATGAATCCCTTGGGGCAATCCTTGGCTATGTGCCCCTCCTTGCCACATTTGTAGCAAGCACCAGACCGACAAACCCCATCATTTCCCTTGCCGCACTTCCCACAAGTGCGGCCCTTCTGGCCTCCAGATCTCGAATCGGCGGGCTTTGCCCGCTTGGCTGCCGGCTGAGACTGTGCCGGCCGCCGATCCCTCCCCTGAGACTCGACCTCCTCCCGAGCCTGAGTCTCTAGCTCAATCTCCCTCTTCCGGGCATTTACCTGGAGCTCGGCAAATGTCCGGTATGATGAGTTCGCCACGAACTCCCTGATATCCCTCCTCAAAATGCTCAAGTACCGGCTCATACGTGCCTGCTCAGACGACACGTGTTCAGGGAAAAACAACGCCCTCTCATGAAACATCCTCGTAATCACCGTCACAGACTCAGTTCCCTGCTTGAGGGACAAGAACTCCTGGGCTAAACGTTCCCTTTCCATAGGGGGAACATACTCCTCTCGAAACATCATGGTGAACCTCTCCCAGGTCACAGCAGTAAGCTCTACCGTAGTGAAGTCTGCCGTCACAAACTTCCACCAGTCCTTCGCCCCTAAGCGAAGCTGGTTCATGCAAACCGAACCCTCATATGCTCTGGACACGAGCAGGTGTAAAAGCATCCCTCGATATCAGAAATCCATCTCATCGCAGTAATCGGATCCTGCGTCCCATCAAACTCTGGTGGCTTCGTGTTGATGAAATCCCGGAACAGCAACGAGTCACCCCCCTGAGGTCTAGCAGCAGCAACAGCTGCAGTAGCTGCAGTAGCCGCAGCCTCAGTAACTGCTGCATACCGCTCATCAAAGGTCTCAATCAATGTGGTCTTGATAGACCCAAACATCTCTGGAATCTCGGCTCGGATCGTCGCAACTACCTCATCGTGGATCATCTGACGAAGCTCCCCGTCACTCACGCCACTCGTCTCAGGTCTGTGGCGTGTCCCAACAATGATGTCTCTGAAATACAACATAAAAATATCAGAGACTCGCTCGAGCATACTCGCACTCGATAACTCAACCCTACTTGTTTCCTAGTACCCTAAGGATTCTTACTTGGACTGCGCACTGATCCGGTGTCTCCAGTAGTACGGGCCCTATACTACCGTCAACACCGCATCAGTATTCACCCCAAGTCCTCCTCCTTGGATCCCAGATCACAAGTACTCTACATCTCGCTAGCATAGGCTACCCTTCGGTAGACCTCTCATCAGCTCCTCACTGCTACCTACTCACTCTCAAGCATCTCATAGCAACATAAATCTCCCTAGGCTAAGGTATCACAAATCAGGCCACTCTAGTCCTAATATGAATACCTAGCCTACTCTAGCATGCATAACATATCATAACATATCTCATAACACATAATGTAAGGGTATTTTGGGGAA